CTGAGCTCTTTCCGATCGGCTTAACTCATTGGCACTGCGAAGAGATGTTGCATCTCTTTGCGTATTTTATCGCATCTACCATGGGGAGTGTTCTGAGGAATTGTTCGGACTAATTCCAGCTGCACAATTTCACCATCGCACATCGCGACAAAACTCGCGATACCATCCATACCTTCTGGATGACTGGCGGTCCACCACTGTGATATTTAAAAGAATTTGACTGCCTCGCACAACTTTCTAGTGTAATGGACAACCACCAGAAATTTTTCTGGACCGATACGGCTTAGGGACCTTCAAGAAAAGAGCCTACTCCTTTTTAAAAGGTCTGCAACACATCTGCAATTCCCCGGCAGTTTGGTGTTGCAGTTGCTCATGGGCGGTGGTAATCACTTACCTCCAGGTAAGCCATGTGCTTGTTTGCCCATTTTCCTATAAAAAATTGATTATAAACTGTTATTATTTTTTAAATACTGCTGGATTTCTTTCTGATTCTTCAAAGGTCAGCGGATTGTTCAAAACCAGCAGTAAATTATTAAAAAAAAGAGTGCCTATCAATAAGAATTATTTTTATAATCTATGTTGAATAAAAAAGTTTCTGTTTCTGTTTCTATGACTGTGTATGTATTATAAATAAAAATATATAGAATCATTTTCGCTATTCACAACAATGCTTAATGTTAACAATGCAGTGCATACAGTTATTTTGTTCAATATTATATTAATCCGGGTAATAAACATAGACACAAAAAACATAACTATACCCACAAAAGTCATGTTTGGAATAGACTCTGTACTTGAGCCCTATTTAAGATTGTAATAATAGCAGAATCATCGTGTTTTCTGACATAGACTTTATCATAAGCAGTCCAGGAATATTTATATCCCTTTGTCTTAGAAAGGTCTCTGGCTAAAAATACAAGCAGGAAGCATTTGTCATTAGATGTTCAGCTATGTAAATTGGTGTAGGATCAGGTATTTGGGGCAAAGCTTCATTTTATTATTTTTGTACAAATTTTTGTACAATCTGTACAAATTTTTAAAAATTGTCTATATACTTTGGACTTTGTTGTAATAGCCCCATGAAGGAATTACTGACTCTAAGGTGTTAAGTAATTGGTATTATTATATTATATTACAACTACATTAGTTTTTGAGATCCTACATATATTTAGAGAAATATATTAGGCTTACACCTCCATAATCCTCAAGTTCTTGAATGGTAACAGTAATGCCTGACCGTGGATAAAGACTGCCTAGTATAGCAGTTTCACACGTCTGTCGAATAATGCTTTCTTTGTATCTGAAACACAGAAATTATTAAATTTGAGTTTTCGAATTTAATCTTTACCTTTCATTTTTACTTTCACATCATGGTTAAGATTGACAAAATTGCACCTACACCCATTTTTATACTAAATATTCAATTATTAGATAAATAATTTTACAATCATACCGGACAACATGAAATATAACAAAAGGCTGTTTATTATAACAAAATTTGCCCTGAAGATATTGTGGCATCCATTAGATAGCAGTAAAGGCTTATGGTACTTATATCAGATTAAAAATACACCTGCTGCTATGGACAAGTCCCATGTTCACCAGTGGATCATGTATAAAATGATAAGGAATATGCCAGACCCACATCTCTAAGCCGGCAATTCTACTGATGACAGTAGCATTGCTTTATGTGGTAAACAGTACTACAGAACAAGTGTCCCAAAAATATCCTCCAAACTTCACTACCAAAACTGGTAAGCTCAACATGCTTTACAATTGAAAATGAAATTACCTGTCTGCAACTGAAGGTTTGCCACCTTTTGTGCAAAACAAAACTTCTAAAGTAGATTTTTCTATGCTCTGACTTTGCATCTTAATATCTAAAGGGCCATTCACACTTACTAATGTCACTGTTTCCCCTAAAATAAAGGTTTCAAGTTAGTTATTTTACAGCTCACTTGTGGCAGAACATTTTGTATGAAATTGTTTATGCATATTACTTATAATCAGATCAATCTAAATTAATCAGATATAAACTTTGACTAGACATTGTTCACTTTTATTGGTCGATTATCTAATTCTTAATAAAGTTAAAAACCATATACATACGTCCCATTACTGGGCACAGGCATCCTCTCATTTCTCAGAGAGTTTTGATGAACTTCACATGTCTTCGAAATATTTTTTTCTTATATCTCTGATATGCAGGTTTCCTCACAACATTTTCCTTCACTATTGAACATGTGGTAAAGCAGCACTTAAAATTGTATACAGTGAGAGTTTAGCCCCTGAGCTACTACGGCTCTTTTCATACTAAAGCTATACTTCAATTCACCACTGCCAGCTCTCATCCACCATAATTGCAGAAAACTTTTGTTTGTCTTTTATGCATTAAGTGATTAATTTACCTATTCCTACCACCAAGTATGAATTCGGACACTGCTGTGTTCCAGTTTAAAGGGTTATTAAGTCTGTTTTAGTAACAGGTTACGAGGCATTCCATCTTTTTTTTTATCCACACGAGGATTTTCTCCTGTATCGTGGGGCAGTTCACAAAAATAAATTACACAAGGACAAACTTAAATAATACTTGTTCCGTGCGAGTTTCGAACCTATGGCCCCTAGTGCAGCAAGCATTGCTAAGCCACTGCGCCATCGTCTTAGACGTGGCAAGTCAATTAAGTCAAATTGTTTGAAGTCACTTGCGATGATCATGGGCTACAGTAGACACTCAATTGCTATCAAGTGAAATGTCAGTTTCTTTGTCACGAAGCAGTAATCAATATTGTATGTATAATAAATCATCCTCTCATTATTCACGTTAAAATTAATTAAAAAAAAAAACAAATGTAAAAGATACCTTGAGACAAAATAGCGGATCCATCAGATTTACTCAAAAAATTAAATTCACACTTCATGGGTTTCAGTTTAAATTCTTTCGTATCAATTTCAACGCCCATTGTAAAAGTTAATAAATTTTAAATTAATTAAAGCTATTGTATTTGTATTACTATAAGCACTAACTTCAGTTTTAAAATTTTAAGACATAACCTTATTTTTTATTGTTGTTGTTGCTGCATGTTTTGTTGTTGTCAGTGCTGCCAACATTAAAATCTAGCATCCGTTGTAGAGAACACTATTACACTATAATCCCGTCAAATCCCGTCAAGTACGGTAGATAAGTATCAATCATTCTTTTCTAGTGACCGAATCATTCTAGTACATTTCGTCACGCGTACTCGCGTACTGGTATCAATTATTCAAATGGATCACTTCGGGCTCCAGTACTCTGTTGAGTCTGTAAGATGCATTGGGAACCGAGAATTTTCGATTAAAGATTTATAATAGCGCCATCTACTACATGCTACAGGTAATAAAAGTGATTTTATCGAAATAAAACTTATTGACTTTCAAGGATATCACAGGTTTACAGGATATGCGACTCAAACAGTAAAGAGAGAGAATGAAATAAATAGAGTATAAATAAATTTTTTATAAATTAATTTATAAATTAAATTATTTTATGGTTGATAGTTTTCTATATATTCAACAGTAGCGCATTCTTTTGGCCGATCAACGACAAAAGAGTTTCCGAGCTGTATTCAAAAAATTACGTCAAACGAAAATTTACTCTATCAACTTTTCAAAGATAAGAATGTATTGCACATTTTTTTGTATTTTTAAACTAAAAAAATTAATAAAATTATAATTTAATTTTTGCAATTTCCAAATTATTTTTATTTTGAAAATTTATGTTTATTTAGATTTGCTAAGTAAACATAAATTTTTATTATTCCGTTAAAAATCCGTTAGCCGTTAAACACAATTTTTTCCCGTTGCCAACCTCGCTGTCCCGTCAAATCTAACGGGAAACCCGTCAAGTTGGCAGTACTAGGTGTTGTTACTTGATACGATTTGCTAAATAAGACAAAGGTCCTAGTCTATACAGCTTATTCTGATATGTATTTTGTTCATAATATCCTTTAAAATTATGGCTTGAAGTAGATTTTGATGCACACACATAAACAATTTTGTGTATTTAATGTCTGTGCGTGATATATTCTATTAACAGAAATATAACACAAGTGCACTGATAGTGACACAAACCCCTAATATATTTTATTAGCTTTTGTCTTCTTAAACTTATTCATCTTGGTACCTGTTCTTGGCTTAAGTTGCTATCAAAATCTTGCAATACATTGCAACATTTTTGTGAAGACTGTTAAGTTAACATATTTTATTCTTATTGGCTCAAGGACTACAACCGACAAGGTCAATATTACAAATAAACGAAAAAAAAATAGTCAAAAATCAAAATAGGTAATGATTTTTTTCCGAAAAAGATCGATTTTAGAACCGATTCAAATGGAAATCTGATCAAAGTCTTTCAGATTCACACAAAGTACAGATTACAAACGTAACTTATTTTTTATTTCTAAAATCCATTTAGAAGATGCGAAAGAAACTGAGCATAGCAGTTTTGATTAGAAAAACTGTTGTTTTTTACGAGTTTGAGTACACTCAACTAATTGTAAATAATTTAATAGTACTTATGAAAACAGAAAAAGATTCGGTCTCTGTTTTCTAGGGTGAAATATTGATAATTGATTCACTGGATCGATTCAGTACTATAGATCGATTGAAAAATCGATCTTTTTGACACGATAAATCAATTCTTCGATTAATCGATCTCAGATCGACATCGATACAGCTGCAGCTGACTGACATAAGCTGACAACCTTTTCAGTTTCACTGTCAAACTCAGATGTCAGTGTCACGCTCCTAATTCTTAAAAATAAATTGTGAAATTTACACAAAAGCTAAAAATATTGTTATTTTTATCCGCACTTTCTAAACAAACTATTACTTTAATAACATCAAATTATTTTATTTTCCCTTCTGTTAATATTCACAAGTTTGTAAAAGAAAGGAAGAAGTTGTATCCGTGCCGTTGATGAAATGTGTTAAATCATCCAGAAGTAATAACAAATTATATCAAAATGAAGACGAGATTTAATTCGTACGATATAATATGTATGATCTCAGAATTACAAAGGTAATAAAGAGTCTTTGTTGTATGTATAGGTACAACATTATAAAATTATTTACTCAATTCTTATTTTCAAAATAAATTTTTTGTGTTTAGAATGTTTTGTAATGGTCAAAAAAGCTAACTTTTTATATTATTTATATTATTACTACTTTTACAGGTTGGTTGGCATGCGTGTCAACCAAGTATATGACATAGACAATAAGACCTATGTCATACGTCTTCAGCGTTCAGAAGAAAAAGTTGTATTACTTCTGGAGTCTGGAAATAGGTTTCATACAACACAGTTTGAATGGCCAAAAAATGTTGCACCTTCTGGATTCACTATGAAGGTGTGAAATACTGTTTATTTTGCATATTACACATCATTAATCATCAACCTTACAGTGCATCTCCTTTGTAGAACATAGGTCTACAATAGACCAGAGAAACCATTCTGAGCCACCTGCATCAAAAGATGTTACTCATTTAAATAAAAAATCCAATTTGATGATACAACATAAAAATTATTGTAGTCCATGCTGGCTTCTAAGCTAAATGTACTATAACTATAGAGAATTCAAAAATCTCTAAAAACTAAATATTGAAAATATTTTTTTAGGATAGTGTGACAAACGAGCACACAGTCCACCTGATGGTAAGTGTTTGCTGAGGCCCATAAACATCTCTCCTCAAAATCTATCCTCGATTACAAATCAAAATGCCGATGCGTTGTTACCCGTGAGGACTAAGATGAAATGCCCTGTTTCCAGTAAAAAGGGTCTCCAGTTCTCTACACTCACCATATGAAACAGCAGCATTAAGCTACTATTTCACACTGGTATTCTGTGAGAGCATGGTCCTTACCCGGTCGAGCTAACCTATTCATGCTACAACTATACTAGGGATATAACTGCAGCATGGCTCTACTACGTATTAAAAATCTATCTATATCTTTTTGCTGTCATAACTAATTCTAGAACTATAATAGGAGTATCCATGACATTTTGAATTCTGAGTATTCAAGGGGCCTTATTCAACACGTAAAATTGCAAGTATTTAGGTTTAATAGTTTTTGAGTTATATATATTAATAAAAATAACTTAAATTCAGAGAAATCTTAACATTACATTACTTCCAGTGGTAAAAAACTATTAATACAGATTAAAACTAAGTTTTAATGTAAGTATAGTTTAAGTTATATTTATTGTTTTTTAAATGTGTCATCATTCTGTATATGATGAGCTTTTTGTGTACTTTTCATTTTAATAGTTATTCATTTTTCATTTCTACTTGTAGTTTCAAGTGTAATGGGAGCATAAAAAAAATTGGTAACCCTATACCATCTTGTGGTTGTAGAAAAAGGCAACAGAGAGAATAATAAAATGAAATACCTCAAAATTATGAACACTATGGTTGGCAAGCTACTACTACTACTATACTATAAATGCAACCAATATATATGATATCCTATTTTAATACTGATTGATAGGCGCTATTATCCATATACATTTTTTAGAGCAGTTGATAATTTACAGTATCCTTTTAATGCTGTTCACCTCATCTACTTGTAAACAAAACTACTAAATATTATGTTTGATGATGAACTTAACCATAATTGTCATAGTTGTAAAGTTAAACTCACCTTCAGAGACATGTACTTCAAAAATCATTGAACACATCTTTTTAATGTGGGAAAAAAATAAAAATATAATTTTTATTTGTTATAAATTATTTTTTTTTACATTAAAGACTTGTCAGCTCGAGCATACTCACAGCTTTAATTGCCTTGTTGGTCTAGTGATTGTAAATGCAACTTCTGATCATGAGATCCGAATCCATAAGGTTCGAATCCTGGGAAATTCAGTTACTGGGTTTTTCTGTATTTACTGTTGTTTAAGTTATTGACTATGGGAGTGAGGGAATAGAGAGTACACCTGTGTTGGTGCATATACACTTGAACACTATTATCTCGTCCTGCGCAGAAGACTAGTCCCCATTGAGACTGACCGCTGTAACTGTAATTCGGTCTGGAGGAAAAATTCATTTATGTACAGCTTCCTTTTTACAGCTCAGAAAACATCTGAAGAACAAGCGTTTAGAGAGTTTAACTCAACTAGGAGTAGATCGTATTGTGGCACTTCAGTTTGGAAGTGGAGAAGCAGCCTACCACGTAGTTTTAGAATTATATGACCGAGGTAACATTGTGCTTACAGACAATGAATGGACTATTTTAAATGTACTCCGACCCCATGTGGAGGGGGATAAAATAAGGTAAAATATGTTATTCTATTGGCACAGTTTCTTATTCTTTTTATATAATTCTAGACTATCTAGAGTCAGAAGCTATATAGTATGTGACTACCGTGGAACTTTTAAACATACAACAAATTATCGGACAACTAAGATTGAATGCCTCAAAACTAAACTAGGCATAATATCAACAATAATAACATAAAAAATAAGGAGTGGTACATAGTGTATATACTGGATGACCTTTTATACCATCTGGAAAAAAATTGGATGTAACAGGTGAATGAAGTAGAATCCTATGGCACTGATATTTTACAGAAAATCAAAACAAAATTATTGAATTAAATAAATAAAATATGTAAATCAAAATAATAAATGTAGTATAATTTTTTAAATACCAATCAGTGTAGTTTGTAAATAAGTTGATTTCGATCGTCGACACGCGATGACATTATTAATGAAATACTGGCAATCAGTAGTGCTGCTATTTTAAATCTTTCTTTTATCGACCAAGTATTTTACTATTTTCCAGTATAAGCTGATCTTGCATTAATAGGCAGTAACAAGTGCTTGGAGCTCTACTTACACTGAACGTTTTAAGGTCATTAACATTACACGCAAACAACTTAGGATGAATTGTTTTTGTATATTTTTTTGTATTTTCAGAAATTTTGCCTATCTAGATATAATATTTTGTTATATTTTACAAAAATAGAGGATAGCTTCTGTTCCACTTACACAAAACACCGTATTATTTTCCAAGACGGTAAAAACGGTCACCCAGTATATATAAATGTCTGAACTGATTTTGAAGAAATATTTAAAACATAGCAAAAAGATTTGTGTGTTCTGAAGGTGAAATCACCTTCAGAAATCGCCTAGTAAATAAAATAAAAGCTAATAGTGTCTATGGCTTGAACACTGGGTGTCGTAAGAGGCGACTGTGATTAATCCCAGTAAGGTCCTATAGCCTCCTAAAGATGGCAGTGAAACCATTTCGTTTTTGCCAAACATAAAATATTTGACTTGCAATGTGGATTTAGCAACAAAAAATGAGTTAGGTGAACATCGATTAACCCTAAGTTAAAATTAATTTAATCAGTGTTTTTTTAAAGTGTGAGTAGCATGTACCTGATAAAACTTAAAATAATGAAAAATACCGACTTTAATAAGCCGTGATGATTATGATCAGTGTATATAATATGGCAAAAGGTCCTAGATTGCAAATCATTACAAACCTTGTATTAAACTTGTAGGTTTGCAGTTAAAGAGAAGTATCCATTGGATAGAGCAAAAACAGATTACGCGGCGCCTAACAAAGATGTGCTTCGGGAAATTTTATCCAAAAGCAAACCTGGTGACAACCTTAAGAAAATTCTTAACCCTAACCTTGGTAAGTAAATACTGAAAATAATCTTATTTCTCAATAAGATTTTTTCATAAATTAGTGGTGAAACAACCCCAGAGAGTAATTGAATATACTCGTGTTAAGGTGCATAACTTATATGGAGATCTTAAAATTAAATAAAACAGTTTAAACACCAATAGTGAGATAAGTTATACAACAAAAAACCTTCCCTTATACATATAAGAATCACTATTCAAACATATTAAAATAACTTTACTTTAAAAACTCACCTAAGATTAAATTAAATTTAAATAATTTTTTATTTGAAAATTGTGTGGATTTATTACCTCTGCATTGGTCGGAAGTTATTGTTGAAGACCCTGCTTTACCGATTCGCGTGTCAGTGTCGACGCGGAGAGGTAGATGCGCGCCAGTTTATATTTATTAATTTCTATTTAGTTTTCATAAAAATCTCATAGGATAAACGAAAGTATTGAAAAAATTTAACAGGATCCCTTTTCAAATCTGGATATAAATAATGAAATTTGCCATAATTATATCTTTTCATATAAATGTCGTGTATCCAGTGTTTGGGAGCCCGCCGTTATATTTTTCTATTCTCCTCTGCTTCATCAAAAAGTATATGAAATAAAAACATCTCTTCATCCGAGCTGTCTATGACGCAAAAACGACCTAATTTGATGAAAAGTTTGCGATAAATGTGCGATTCGATTCGATTCTTTGGAGATGGACGCACTAGGAATAAATGCGACTCGCTTCAAGTCGACGCGTTTCTACTGTAATCGACGCCAGGCTTTAGAAGTAATAAAACCGCATTCCATAAAGTATTATACAACACGTAACAAAAATCACAGGATTTTTGTTACGTGTATTATAATAAGTCAATTCGTTAATAAATTTAATGCTCCTGAGCTTTAGAGTCCATTTTGAACATATGCATTTATGAAACGGCTGTATATGAAATAAAAGCAAAAGATTAACAAATCCTTTCTAAAGCTTTACCTTCATCTACTATTTCCTCGATTGTTTTGAGAAAATTGGCATTTTAATATGGAGCTCCAACCACAATTTGATGTAATAGATTAAGTTATGGAATAAAGAATTTGAAATTAATGCAAGTATTTTCCCGCCCCCTACCCCTCTAGAATACGGTGCAGCAGTTATAGACCATGTGCTCTTGGAGAATGGTTTGTCAGGCAATATGAAGATTAATAAGGATCCAAGTAAAGGTTTTCAGATCGAAAGGGATTTAGATAAACTAGTGACAGCCCTCAAACAAGCCGAACAGCTGTTGGACAGTGCAAAGAATCAAGTTGCAAAGGTAAGTTAAAAATGCTTCGTTTTCGTCGAGTCATTTTACAGTACATAAAGTGTATGAAAAACCCTAAAGAAACATTTCTTGTATGCGTATATCTTGTAAACATAATTAACGCACTTTGAGAAAGTAGTTTGTTCTGAATCATTTACTGAATCGATTCTTATCATTTTTGATATAGGTAATTTTTCATCCCAAAAATAATTAAAACTACGTAAATTAGTCACAATAAATCTGTACAGTCAAAACAAACTGAAATGGACCGTAACTTAAGGCAATAAGACTTTTAAAGAGTGCAGTTTTATTTGTATTATTACTAATTCTGTCATTCAATAAAAATTAAGAAAAATTAAGAAAAATGAACTTTATTTCAACCACGTTAAAGTCTTTGCGTTCGTGGATTTGTACTGTGACCACAACATTCTTCCGGAATTAGTATAAGTAATTTGATAAATAATCAGTGCATGAAAATGTTTAACTAAAAATTCAGTGTATGTAGTGTAGTGTATATATTATGATTATAACATAATATACTAATTGGGGTGCCTGAGGATGTGCGTTAATTAGGTTACATATTGTATAGATAATAATATACTGTTATTACAGTGTTTAGAAAATACGAGTAAATAAAGCTCCTACTTTTATTTGAAATTATCCTAATGTGAATGTGATTTATGGACAGCAACTACGCGTACGCATGCTCCACTGTATGCAATTCAATTCACAACGTGTTTACCGACCAAGCGATCCTTACGAATGTGTGCCTGCAGAGTAAAATAGTAGGCGTTAGATATTTATGAATCAATGACAATCAGTTAAAATGTTTTATTTTAATTTGAAAGATAAAAGGAACAGAATATTTAAGATGTTTTTAATTAATTTCTCTTTACCATTCGCCTAGGCTACTTATTGTGAATTTTCTCTGCAAAATTAGGCGTATATTGCAAAATAATACAGTAAAGCATTTGTGCGTTGATAATAAAAAAAAATAAAGATAAAAACTCAGGTTGTTTCCATATACCTCTTTGGGTAACCACTAAAACATATAGTAGGTTCGGCTGTGGAAGGGCTATGCATTCGTAGAGTACTAATGTAAAATAATATTATACTGCTTTATTTTGATTGGTGACTGATGAAGGCCAGATACCTTTTTCAATAATAACTAGACATTCTAGTCAAGTGAATGCTTAGAAGTGATGAGTCTGCTTTTTGACTTATAATCGAGGGTAGTTGTACACTTACCATCACTCCACCTAATGTTAAATGACAAAATAATTAAAAAAAAGGGAAAAAAATATCCTGCACTATGTCCCACTGTTAGACACAAGCTTCCACAAATTTCTGAGAGGATTTCAGGGAAAAAGCCCCCCCTCACCCCTCCAACGTGTCAGTTTCATAATATGAAACCACCTTGATATATTATTTATTTCTAAAATACGCAGGTTTCTTCACCACCAATCACATGGCTAATCAGGACAGATACAAACTCCATTTGCTCGTTTTCTCCTCGATTAATATGAAATTTAATAGGCTCTGCCAATCCCCTAAGCTACCTCGGTTCAAGACAATTAATGTTTTCAGGGCTATATAATACAGAAGAAAGAAGAGCGTCCAGCTGCAGAAGGAGAGTCCAACTTCCTCTTGACAAATCAAGAATTTCATCCAATGCTGTTTACCCAGTACAAGGACCAGCCATTTGCCGAATTGGAAACTTTTGATAGAGCAGTTGATGAATTCTTTTCAGCTTTGGAAGGTCAAAAGATTGATTTAAAGGTAAAACTAAAGAAGGAAGTTTGAAAAAAGGGTGTGTGTACGGAATATCTTTGCTGGTTGTGGTCCGCTTTTATTGATTCTTTTATTTTATTTCAATAGGTACCTGTCTATCATTGGATTTCTGAAGCTGTTTACTGGTCTAGCAGTTTATGTCTGACATAATACCTTACGTGGTACAGCCACACTAAAAGTATAATATTATGGTTGTAGAACGAACGGGTCAGCTCGACCGGGGAAGGCCTAAGCTCTCAGAATACCGGCGTAAAATTGCAGCTTAATGTTGCTGTTTCATACGGCGAGTGTAGAGAACTGGAGATCCGTTTTACTGAAAACGAGGCAATTAAATCTTAGTCCTGAGGGGTGACATGGCATCTGCATTTTGATTTTTAATTGAGGATAGATGTAGATGTTTATAGGCCCCAGCATCCACCTACCATCAAGTGGAGTGTGTGTTAGCTTGTCATCCTTATAAAATAAAAATACCCTCGGGATGATATACGACTACTAATTGCAACCGATGTAAGGAAATGAGGTGATGCTATAACTGGCAGTGTAGCCACCGTTTGCCAAATTTAATAATTATCATTTTGAATAAAACTATCGCGTTTACAATAACACGTGCCGCCATGGTCAAGCTAAGTTTGACCAAGCATCAGTTTTTTAATAAATTTTCCTTTACCAATTTATTATGTAAAATTATCATTTTAATAAATACAATGACAATTAACACTGTATAATAAGCACACACGTAGACACATCAAAAAAAGTTTGTGATCACTAACAAAAACTGGTATATTTTAAAATTTAACTTTATTAAGAAAAAGTGTCTTTATTAAGTAAATATATCTTTTTTTAAATAGAAATACAATGTTTGAATTTAAAAATATTTTTATTTTATTTTTAATAACAAAAATTTAGTAATTCAATTCTAATCTATAAATAATTTATAAATTTCTGATACAATCGTAATGTAACAGAAATTTGATGGAAAGAAAAAGTTTGTTTAATTAAACTCGTACAGCAATTTATTACTAGGTTTTTATTTAATACATTTTAACTCCTTCAAATTTAAAACTTCAACTTCAAACTTCTTTCTGTTCGAGCCAACACATGCAGAGTTCCTCCTGAGCATGCTGAGGATGAAGTTATCCAGCATTTCTTGCGGTAACCTGTCCCATTCTTGAATAGTGGCTTCCCGGATCTCTGGCACTGTATGGGGATTAGCTCACGCGTGTTCTATTGGGTTTAAGTGAGGCGACTCGGCAGGCCAGTCGAACCTTGTTATATCCTATTCTCGGAGAGCAGTATTGACTTGTAGAGCTCGATGTGCGGGCGCATTATCATCGACCAATATGAATTGGTGCCCATGGTTTACTCGGAATGGTCCGACAAAAATTAAAGGCGTTCTAGCCTATATAATATAATTCCACCTCAAAAGGACACCGATTTCCTTGCTGAACGGTTCCGATGGCAGTTCTTTGCCTTTCAGAGTCTCCAGGTCTTCTCCAAACACGGAAACGTCGGTTATCTGGATGAGTACTGATTCGCGATTCGTCAACGAAGAGACAGTTTTGCCAAATGTTTTCCTCCTTATCTTCTTTTTTATAGCATTGGGTGCTAAACGAGCATACAGACCACTTGATTGATGCTGTGGCCCATAGACATCCACATTTATTCCCAATTAAGCATCAAAATGCATAGGCGTTGTCACCCCTGAGGACTAAGATGGAATGCGTCGATTCCTGTAAAACGGGTCTCCGGTTATTTACACTCACCATACGAAACACAGCAGCATGAAGCTGCTATTTTACGCTGGTATTCTGTGGGAGCGTGGTCCTGCCCCGATCGAGCCGACCCATTCTTGCTACAATCACAATATAGCTGCAGTTTGGTTCTAGAACGTAAAAAATCATTTTGTCGGAGCCTAGCCTACTGCAATCTCCTTCGTTGACATTGCCGTGAATTCAGGGGTGCTCGCTAAGATCTCTGTTCTCGTAGTTCAGCCTGGTGTAAGCGGCTGCCAGCTGCAGGCGGCCAGCACTTTGTAGCTTTGACTTGATTGTTGGGCCACGGGCTGCCAGCAATCTGATATAGCACTTCTGATCAACAGTCAGAACAGTTGGGCGGCCACTGCGGGGTCGCTCGGCAAAATTATCCATGCCGCGGTACCCCTGCAACGTGGCCACGACATAGGATTGGGATACAGCAACTTTTCTTGCTATTTCTCTCGTGAAATATCCTTCTTTCCTCAAAGTTACAATTCTTGCTGGTAAAACTTCTGATAATCTTCTTGACATTTTTTCAATTACAACTTTCCTCGGAATAAAGTATTTTAAATTCGTTAAAATTGACCAAGTCAAATTGGATTGAATAACAATTGAATTTATTTCATTGTTTTATGTTCTAATTCTATATTTTAAGGGGAAATATAACCTCAAATGGCTTAGCAAGATCCTCCGTTATGCCGAAAGTATTGCAGCATTAATTTTGAAATAAATATATGGTAAAGTTGAGGATTAATGTTAAGGTTTATGTTAGACGAAAACACGATTCCGTAAAATTTTCTCGATAGAAAAAAAATCCAAAGTTACCTCCAAACTGAACAATAAACCGCTGTTATTCATAAAACAGGAACCAAGCTTACGCGCCGATAGTTTAGGTAATTTCCTTTTACAGTGAAAATAATGATATTTTAAAAAAAGTAAATAACATAAGCACTGCTTTATAGTTAGTTCAGTTAGTATGCAAACTTTCATGATCTTATTTAAAGTATTTTATGAATAACAGCGGTTTATTGTTCAGTTTGGAGGTAACTTTGGATTTTTTTTTCTATCGAGAAAATTTTACGGAATCGTGTTTTCGTCTAACATAAACCTTAACATTAATCCTCAACTTTACCATATATTTATTTCAAAATTAATGCTGCAATACTTTCGGCATAACGGAGGATCTTGCTAAGCCATTTGAGGTTATATTTCCTTAAGTAAAGAGTCTAAAAAGAAGAAGAAATTATAATATAGTTTGCTGTAAGAAAAAAAGATTTCGGTTTTTCAAACTGATCGCAAACTTTTTTGATGTGTGTATACTCAATAAATAATATTCAAATAATCTATATTTTATATTATCCTTACCGTAATTTATTATGTGTTATAAATACGACAAAAACGCTGTATGATTACCTAAAGTTATAACATATATACGTCCCACTGCTGGGCACAGGCCTCCCCTCGTTTCTGAGAGGGTTTTTAGGGCAAGGAAGTGTCCGCTTCGAAATATTTTTTTTCTTATTCCTCAGACATGCAGGTTTCCTTACGATGTTTTCCTTCACCGAGCACATGGTAAATCCAATTGCAATTAACAATTTCATTGGTGCCGGCGGGGATCGAACCCGGGTTAGTCGCATTCTGTTATATTTACAGCGAGCGTTTTCTTTTCTTTTTCTTTGACTTTAAATTGAATTGACTTTCAATAAGTATTGTTTATAATCTACATTGAATAAAAAAGTTTCTGTTTCTGTTTATGTTTCAGAAAAAGAGACCGAGATGATAGAAAACACTATTTACTGTATTCTATCTCATTCTCTCGCAAGCTAAATCCTATAGATATATACATTTATCTCTTTAATATCTTGCTTTTTCGTTCATTCGAGTTTCAAATCACAAAGATTCTAAAAAGTTTTCTATTCAAAAAAATTTTTCACATTTTGCTAAATATTTCTATTGCAGACCATCCAAATAGAAAGAGAGGCTATGAAGAAGCTCCAGAATGTACGCAAAGACCACGACAAGAGAGTGACAGAGTTGGAGAGAGCTCAACTGGAGGACAAGAAGGCAGCGGAGTTGATTTCCAGGAATGAACCACTGGTAGAACAGGCTCGTCTTGCAATACAAGCGGCTATTGCTAACCAGGTGGGTTTTTTTTAGGATTAATTATATAAAAGAGTAAAATAATTATATAAAAAAACACTACTTTACGAACGCCAATAAAACAATAAATTTAGTAGGCATCATTGACCTTGACTATTCGCAGGCTCACAGGCTAGGGTGGATATGATTTGAATTTCGATAGAAATTAATTGATTTATTTAATTCAAACCTTTTGTTTTTATTTTTGGTAAAATATCAGTAACATAGGCTTCTACTCCGTTCATATGTTACTCCCTATTTTTTTCTAGGTGGTAAAAAAGGTCACCAGTATATACGTTAATATATCTTCTACTATATCTTATACTATACCTTCGTGAAGTACGGCATCTGACAGCGTTGTTGAATTTGCTATATGTTCGCCATTGTGAGGTAAATGTTCGTGCGTTTAACTCACCTTTATCCTTTATCTAGAATGAAACCAGTTTATATATTCTCCACTATTCTAGTACTTTACAGTTCCCATTCTCATATGGGGGCCTGAGGTGTTCGACGTCCCAATGTTATAGTTAACCACGACTTCTTTTAGTATAAAACTATTGATTTTTGATCCAATCTACGCAGAGAGAACTTATACTATCTAGGAGCCTTGCAGTGATATGCATGGATTGGGATTTAATTTTATTAATTAATTATATAATCAGTAGCCGATAGTAGCACACTACTATCTTATCTATTGAAATTAGAATCCTTAGTAGGAATTTGTGTTTTTTTGTGAGTATATGGTCTATCAAAGCTGATGTAGCGGTGGGGCAATCCTTTAAGCGTTTGCAAAGTACTCTAAACGTCGGGAATATAAAGTAAGTTAGTATAAAAGATGAAACCCGTAAGTTTTTACGGGTTTCATACATAGATTAATCAAATGTGATGTGTATAAACATAAGAAATCATTACCCTACTCTTTTTTTTGTTGGGGAAAATGTCCTGGATTTCTCGTTGCTCTGGGGCCTAACTCCTACCGTACTAAAACCTTAAGATAGTCGCTTTTATTGGCGAGGGGTCAAACGAGCACACAGTCCAGCTGATGGTAAGTGGATACAGTGTTTCATCGACCAAAATGCAGATGCGTCTTTACCCCTGAGGAGTAAGATGGATTGTCTTGTAACAAGCAAAAGGGGTCTACGCACTGACCTCTATATATACAAGTACGCTGGACTGGCTATACACTGTGACATGCTGAAGCGATTTGATTTCCGCCATTTTGGCGCTGACAGTAGAAGTGCACGTCCACGGAACTAATAATAGGGATGAGACAGTGTACCAAATTATATCGATAAAAATTCTATACCCTACCTATACCTAAATAAATAAAATAGACTCTATGGATAGATGGACTCTACTCGTAACGTCCATTCTATTTATGTATCATATTAATATAATGCCATTATCATTCATCATCATTAAAACTCTTCACAAGTCCACTGCTGAACATAGGCCTGACTCCGTCGATTGACCTCTCGGTCGAAGTTGGACATACTTAATCGGACTATTTGTCCCAGGTAAACGTACTCGTCAACAACTTCGAGCATAGTGCTCCCAACAACTACGGGCATAGGTGTGACATGGATATTAAACATTATCTTTGTTTTGTCCATGTTCATGTCCATCATCTTAAGACCCATCCATTGGGAGGCACTATTGAGGTCATTGAGCATATTGCTTAAGTCGTCCTGCGAATCTGCCATAAGGACTATATCGTCGGCAAATCGAAAGTGAATGACTATTTACTTGAAAGTTATAGAAAGTTATATATCATTCTAATACAATGATTGTATTATCATTCCTAATTAAACAATATAAGAACTGTTCCACATTTTTAACGATATTTCCACAATTATTTCTTCTGCGGCAGCAATGCGCCGGGTACGATTATATAAAAAATATAAACTTTGAATTACATAGTTATCAGTTATTTACAACGTCATTTTCGAAATTGAAATTACAATATTTAAAAAAAATAACTGAAATTATCATAAAGTCCTACTTTCTATGGTATCGTCCCAAGAATGATGGCTACGTGTCCTCACTGAATGGCTATACTTGGCCTTCAAGCGAGGAAACAACAAACTAAACAACTTCTAAAGAACAGTTTTTTAGGAACTACACCGCACGTGCACCCTACGGACCAATAGTCTCTACGGAAAATTGCACAAATATGTACTTATCTTCCAGATACTCTGTGCTATTTACTTGGTTCAGTTGTCTCTAATGCCACCCCTGCTTTAGACGAGATACCCCTGAGATGGGATGCTGTCAAAGTGTTCGCAAGTAGTATCCCACACTAAAGCTTTATCTCTCTCTCTCTCTCTCAAGCAACTAAACCCATACCGTCGGGTCTCCTGGTATCGTCTCTAAATATTCTACAAAGATCTTAAACCGAGGAAACATTAAATTATAGAGATACGAGCTGCACTACGGAGTCCCCGAGCCCGATATGTGAATGGAGCCAGGAAAAAACGAGCACTTGGAAGCAGCAAGTGGTGCAGCCTCACCAAAGTCGCGAAAGATAGTCGAGTGGCCCATCGCCAATCGTCATACCAACACTCCTCTTCTCTTACGACTCCACCTCGACTACAGCGGTCCAGGGAGAGGAATATCCTCTAGCCGCAGCCCTCTAACACACATACAACGTGGCTCGACATCATCGGGCGATCTTTCGACACTTGGCTATGGCCCTTGAGTTTGGTAGAAAATGAGGAAAGAAGAAATAAAAAAACATTCGAAATAATAATCTAATACTTTTATACTTACTGGTACTGGTACCAGAAAATATTGTCGGTATACTGCACTTTTTCAAAGTGGTGCAGTTCTCATGTCTAATAAAACAGTCGTCTGTAAAATGTTTGGAACAAATATGATCATTTTGTTTCGGACGCCAATTCACAATATTTATGCTTTTAAGTCATAATTTTAGTCTAGGTTCAGTTGGAAACCTGTTAATTAAATAAACATTTGATAGACATCCGTTGTTGGCGATTTTGTATGTTAACAGATATGAGTAAGAAAGAACATCGATAAGTATTATAGACAAGGAACTCGACAACCTTATTGAATTTTATTGTTTATCAAAACTCAGTAATATACACCCAAACATGTTGGTATATATGATATTAAGATTAGTAACAATTTTTAAGTACTTATATTATCAAATAGTTTTAATTTTTTTAATATTTGATGCAAATTCACTTACTTGTGAAATGTTATACCACTTCGCTTTTGGTAACGATTTTTACAGATTACGCACACTCTCATTATTAATAAAAATAATTTTTATTATGTAACTAATATTATACACAATTAAACAACAAAATACTTTCGTTTTTTAGTTTAAAAGTTCAAAATACAGACTTATGAAATAAGACAATATAAATAAGACAACAGACTTTGGCATATTATGTCAATTTTATTTTTCAAGACATCCTTTAGCGGCGCTTCAAATTGGCACAGTCATTTTGTATGGTATAGCCAGTCCAGTGTACTTGTATATATAGAGGTCAGTGGGTCTACGGTTCTCTATACTCGCCATATGAAACACGACAGCATTAAGCTACATTTTACGCTGGTATTCTATGAAAGTGTGGTCCTTTCCCGGTTGAGCCGACCCATTCGCGCTGCAAACAATATAGCTGGAGTATAACTCTACCACACACTCTCTACTTAACGTTCTCATGATAAATTGACTTTCTACTCAGCATTTTTAAATAGATCACCTATAACCCAAGTTTAAGCATGCATTAATAATGTATACATATAATAATCTAGAATACATTTTCGCCTTTCAGATGTCATGGGATGACATAAAACTCCTAGTAAAGACTGCGCAGGACAACAAAGATCCCATCGCCTCGACCATCAAGCAGCTAAAACTGAACACCAACCATATCACCCTGCTGCTTTCAGACCCCTACGACGAAGGTGATGATGGGGATGATGAAGATAACGATGATTTAGATGGTCGCCTAAAACCAATGCTGGTGGATATAGATTTATCGTTGACAGCTTTCGCAAATGCAAGAAGGTAAGATAGTAGGCCTATGTTTAGAAGTGGTGGACTTGTGATGGGATGTGGTGTTATTTCTAGTGACATTATTACTAGTTTTCGATGTAAGATACGTGTGGGAGATATAATCATCTTAAGCTTTGCCGCCCTATAAAACCAAAACTTGGAAGAAGATAGAGACAAAAACGCAAAGTCGTATGCTATAACTAATATATTAAGAAATGTAGCAAAAACAACCTTTGCCAATAATAAGGAACGCTTCGAAATAACAACTGTAAAGAATTTAACTACACTACACAATACTAAAATCAACTTTTTATATAGAATAAGGGTGACAAACGATCACACAGTCCACCTGATGCTAAGTGGATACAGTGGCTCATAGACATCTACATCTATCCTCGATTACGAATCAAAACGCAGATGCGTTGTCACCCCTGAGGACTAAGATGGAATGCCTCGTTTCCAGTAAAGGGTCTCCGAATCTCTACACTCACCATACGAAATACAACTGTATTAAACTGCTATTTTAAGCTGGTATTCTGTGAGAGTGTGGTCCTACCCCGGTCGAGCCGACCCATTCATGCTAAAACCAGAATATAGCTGCAGCGTGGCTCTACCACGTATGAGTAACTACCGAATCTTCCAACTCGTAAATTATTATAAATATTTAAGTAACTTAACGTAACTTAAATATTTATAATAATTTACTATAATGTCAACTGTCAAAATGACGTCGATAAAGGAGCTTTATCCCTGCGATCCCCATAAAAATCCGATGCAGTCGCATGCGCCCGGCAAATCTCGAGCGGTCGCATGACTGCACCCACCCACTGCGCTTAAAACCATTTAAACTTACATTTAGAGACTACTTTCCTATGAAAAATTTTTTTTTACATTATAGAATCAATATGAAATTTTCTATCCTCTAGTGCAATAAAAAGTCAAGTTATCCTATGGACTGAAGGGTTATTATTGGATTAACTGATAAAGAGCTATTGTATCACGTAGCCATCTATGCAAACAGGCTGTAGTTTTTAAGTTATAAGAAAGTGACTATTTTAACCGTATGATCATAACATTACCTTACACTTACATACTATAGTTTAAAAATCTAACAGGTCGTGTAATATGGCGTGTCTGTTTGAGTACAATGCAATATTAACTTTAAATTTTACTTAATTCATAAATTCTATTGCTAGATTCTTTTTTATATAAATATATTTTTATGAAAGAAGTAAAAGATAAAAAGGGAAGACCCCATCTAGCCAAATGTCATGTTTATATTTTATGTGTAAGTATATTTTTAGGTATTATGTAAGTTTAATCGGCAAATACAGTCTATTAAAAAAAACAAATTTATACTTACACAGATATTAATATAGCAATTAGCGAAAAGTTAGTCAAGGATACTTTAGTAATGGCGCCAAATGAAAGTCGCGGAGGATTTCTTATGTAACGATTTACACATGGGGCGCTCGCGGCACTCTCTCTTCGTCTCTGCTCACGCCAACTCGTGGCCCAACCGCTCGCGGGCGATGGGACTTATTACGAATTACAATCGAAACACAATTAGATATGATTACTTTTGTTTTATCAAACCCGCGTTTCATAAATATTTACTATATAAAATGTATGCATCTGTTAGCTAGGTTAGTCTCAGTGTACGTGGTAGCTCGTCATTATTAATAACTCGTAACTGGTAGTAACTCGTAATTGGAGTTTCAAACACCGACTCGTCAGTAAAGTCACAAGCTTTCAACTGAAAACCAGCCCTGCCTATGCAGCATTATCCTGATTTGGAGATCTATTTGGTGTCTCACTTTCATTTTTTTTGTTGTATTATCAATTAAGAGCGTATATTTAAATATGCGCAAGTCAAAATCTACGCGATCGCTCTAGAATGGCGTAATAATGGCGCACACTCCAATGTTATTTCTGTGTCCGTGACTGTCCGAACGCAAGACTAATTATTTTGCGTAAAAACGTCGGAAAAACTGCACATTTGTCTATGTGCATTTTTTTCAGTAAATCAGAACTTGTTGGAAAATACACATCATCTGTATGCTTGGCGGTCCACCACTGTACGTTTCACTAAAAGCTTTCTTCCGCGTACGACCTCTCTGTGGAATAGTTTACAACCGGTAATTTTTCCGGACCTATACGACTTAGGGACCTTCAAGAAAAGAGCTTACTCCTTTCTAAAAGGCCGGCAACGCACCTGCAACTCCCCTGATGTGGCACTTGTTCGTGGGCGGCGATAATCACTTACTATCAGGTGAGCCGTATGCTCGTTTGCTCCTCTGCACTCATCTTTCAGCACTTCACAAGTCCACTCTGAACATTGTCTCCCCAACACAAGTCCTGAGCCACCTGCATCCACCGACTTCCTACATGTCTTACCAGGTCGTCACTCCATCTAGTGGTGGTCGCCCTACACTACGCCTACCGGTACGAGGCTACCACTCGAGAACCTTTTTTCCCCAACGGTTGTCGGTTCTTCGAGCTATATGGCCGGCCCATTGCCACTTCAGCTTGCTAATCCGTTGGGCTATGTCGGTCTTTCCGGTACTACCCGAATATCCTCATTTCGAAGTTTATCGCACAGAGAAACCCCGAGCATAGCCCCTCCATAGTTCGCTGAGCGACTTTGAGCGTCCTCATACGGCCGGCAGTGAAGGACCAAGTCTCAGATTCCGTAAGTCATCACTGGCAACACGCACTGGTTGTACAATCTAGTTTTCAGAGTTTGAGGTTTATCTGACGAGAAGAACGTAATTTCCCGAACGGCCCAGACGAGTTGAATCCGTAGATTGACCTCTCGGTCGAAGTCGGACTTACCTAGTCGAGATATTTATCCCAGGTAAACGTACTCGTTAACAACTTCGAGCATAGTGCTCCCATCAACTACCGGCATAGGTGTGACATGGACACACATGATCTTTGTTTTGTCCATGTTAAATGCTAATACCGTACCCTTTCCAGTCCAGTAGCTTGAAAACGTCTTCCAATGCAGCGGTGAGGAGTTTCGGGGATATGACGTCACCCTGTCTTTAAAGTTTCGACTCTAGTCTATCTCTAGCCATCATAGCCCTATAAACACTTCAGCACTTCGATAAACCGACATTCAACTTGGCACCTCTAAAGGGACTATAGCAGCGCCCAAATTTCGACGGAATCAAAGGCTTTCTCATAGTCCACATACGCCAGGTAAAGTAGCAGATTGTACTCTTCAGTCGTATGTACAATCTGCCGCTGGGTATGTATGTGGTCTATGGACTGACTGAAGCCTTTTCGGAAACCGGCTTGTTCGGGTGACTGGAAGTTGTTGAGTCTGCGTGAAGGACGATTCTCAAGTAATGACTCTCGAAAACAGCACGTAGACAGTTGAATAAAACTAAATTTACGAATAATAAAAATATTAATTAATTACCTCCCAACCTTCCGCTAACTATTTAATTAATATTTATGGTTGCGAAGTAATTAATTAATATTTTTATTATAATGGATTTCCGCAAAGTAACGCCTGTTTCTATCAATTAAATTTACGAATTCTATCGCGTTTAATTAACTACTTTTACTTTTTTATATCATTTATTTTAAGAAATCATTACTTAGACACGGTTCAGAAGAGAAATCGGTCTGTAGTTCTTCAAGGGAGCTTTGTCGCCTTTCTTGAAGAACAAGACCACCGCACTTCTGCTCCACGCCTCCGGAGTAGTGCCACCATGGAGGACGGAATTGAAGAGCTTCTGAAGGACTTTAAGTACCGGTGCTCCACCCGCTTTCAGAAACTCCGCTGTAATTCCATCCTCGCCTGGGGCCTTGCCGTTTTTAAGGTGCTGGAGAGCCATTCTAATTTCACTTAGACTGACGTCCGGGATATCATCGGAATGGTGTCGGATAAAACTTGCTCTTGGATCATTACTTACACTTGCGTATGGCTCCAACGATGTTGTGTACAGCTGCCCATAGAACCTCTCAATCTCACTCAAAATCTCAGGTGTCCCGGAAACGATGCTGCCACACTCAGTCTTAGGCTTTGACAGTTGGCTGTTTCTGGCAGACAGATCTCTAGTAAAGACTTTGAAGCCCTGGTTCCGCCGTTCGAACGCTTCTTCAATATGAGCAGTATTAAAGTTGCGTATATTCCTGAGCAACTTGTCTATCTCTTCTTCCAGCTTCAGGATCTTCTCGTATGTCCTCAGGGTGCGTGCGTTATATGTTGCAAAGTCCAGTCGTCGTAGGTGGCAACTGAACCTCCACCGGAAATACTTAGCACCCTCTGCACATTCTTAGCATCCTCTGAATCAACATCTTAATTTAATTCTGAAAATAATAATATATCATATAAACTCACAACGCGTGCAGGTCATAAAACGGTGTTATACAATATAAAAAGCACACGTTTATGCTTATTCAAACGGTTATAATACCTTAAACCATGATAGCCTAGATAAATCCTTGCATCGGACGTATAATATCACTTTATTTATTGAACTATCTACAACCGATTAAAGAAATTGACTAGTGGAAGAACTTAACTCACACACAAGAATTTAGCATTTTACTAAATGTACCTATCTAAACAGAAGCATGTAAATAGGTACTGTACTGATTACTTGTAATAGAATGAAATAATTATTGATCGTCGAATTAACCACATCGATGCATAGCGCGACGGGGAGGGTAGCATCAGACAGTAAGAGAATAAAAAACAAGTTAACATGATTGATATCTGCATCTCGCCAACACATTAGCTTATTATTATTAAAAAGCTTATTATTATTATTATTACGTGCAAAGTTTAAAACTTTGATGCTGACTATGTAGTCCTAGTTTGGTGAGAAAATATAAAATTTTCAAAGCAAAAATATTTTTTTATAGTAACAGCCACAGTAACAGCTTACAGATACATTAAATTCTTGCTCTCAAAATGATCGATCGAAATACAGATTAAGAAGGTTAGTGAAAATACGTGACATTAGCGTCCCAGTCAAGAGTGAATCGGGACATGTCACCACACTGAAAACTAAAACACACCACACACTGAAAATCGGGACGTCTCGCGCAAATCGGGACACTTGGAACACTGTAGTTCACGCTATCGATGTGAATGAACGCGAACGCGAGCGTTGACGGGAAAAAGTGATACATATATCTAATCGCTGGGAGGACCCGGAGCGTACTGCATAGAGTAGAGTAATAGCGTACTGAATCGGACGGCGTCTGCGCGCGCTGGATTATAATACTTTAAAAGTAATCATTTAAAATAAATGACTAAATAAAACTACCTAATTTTTTTTTCGATATAACATTACCTGTATTTTGATAAAATAATTAAAATAGATTAGTTTATATTGAAGTGCACTAGAAAAAAAATGACATTGAAGTGAACAGTTTTGGTGATTTTGTGGTATTGTTTTTATTAATATTAAATCAATATATTTTAGTAATCAGGCTTTGTGTTGCACTTCAATACTATATTCCGGTATAATAACGCTTAAAATAAAGCACTTTTGCTTATAATAACTGTTGTATTCGACCTGAATGATAACTCTGACGCATATTTTCGTAAAACTATTGAGGGATTGCTTTCGCTCTAAAAAAGCGTCATTAAAAATTATGATATGCACTGTAGTGCACTAAATAAAGACTTCATATTTCTAAAACCTTAATTTTCTGCAAATATTTTGCTCACATCGTTACGATATCGCCCTTGAAAAAACTTAAAAACATGAAGTTTTCGACGCGAATCGCTTATGCCCTCAATGATGGGTATGTACTGCTTCTTAAGTGTTATCTACCTTTTTTTATTGTTTCAAATAAATAATTCTTTCCTTCTTCTTTCTTTTGCCCACAAATCCGTCCGCGTAGAAACAAAATGCATTTGCATTTTCCCATGGTAACGTATGGTAAAAACGTTTCTTATAATTTACAGATACTACGATCAAAAACGAAGCGCCGCTAAGAAACAGCAGAAGACGCTAGAGTCAGCGGATAAAGCTTTGAAGAGCGCCGAGCGGAAGACCAAACAGACCTTGAAGGAAGTCCAAACTATCAGCAGCATCAGTAAAGCGAGGAAGACCTACTGGTTCGAGAAGTTCTATTGGTTTATATCTTCGGATAATTTTCTGGTAAGGAATATTAAAGTGCATTGAAGTAAATATGTACTATAGTCAACCAAATCTAAGAAATACACTTTGACAGCTGTCACACTTATTGCACCAAGCATGCGAACCAAAAAATGGGTACGTACAATATTCGATTCTTAAAAAAATCGATATCGATTACTTAGAGTTGGTAATCATTTACAGTTTGGTTTGAATAATACCAGAATAAATTAAAAACGGATAATTTAAAACACAAGATTTATCAGTTTCTTCGTATTTGTTGTTACTGCTTATTTCTAGAGGCACAGTTATAAAAATTTGAGATTGAAACTAGATTAAAAATAAATTTATTCAATCACTTTCAGTACAACTAGTAGGGATGTCGTTGTTTATATTAATTATTATTTGATTTTCAATAATGCAGTCAAAATTAATGTCTCTTTCAAAGTCATCCCTAATCATTTTTTGTATTTTTCTGTGACACGGGCACATGCTTCAACGAATTTTTTTTTATGGCATTGGGTGGTGTAATAGTGGAGACGAACTGTCCACTATTAACAGACTCCGAGTGGTTTTCTTTAAGGTGGAGAAATGAAACTACTGTTTATGTTTATGAATGTACTGTCGAATGGGATTCGGAATGGAATATATTTTGCATCAACCTTGCCTATATTTATATGGCTGGCTCACTATTGATTTGCCAATGGTAACAATTAATATTTTGCCTAGCCAATTATATTGCTTATTTTATGACCAATGAAAACTATTTAAAATATACAATTATCTACGTTTCGTTTCCCGGCGTGAGACTTGTTTGTTGTTCACGAAGCTACGTCGCTGGACCGGGCTATATAAGACATGCAGATCGGTGCGCACGCGTAGTCGGCGGGCGGCGGCGGTGTGGAATACAGCTCCGGAACAGCAAGAGGAAACGAACTGCGGCGTTGAAGAAACGGCTCACCATTGGTCGACGGATACGTGACGATAGCGGCGTGTGAAGTCGGTGTGGCGCTGAATGATATTTGCGGCTGCTTCTTGTTTCTTTATAAGAACGTCAAATTATCTATATACAGTCCGCAGTATCTCAGTAGCCAAGAATAATTAGGAAATAAAATGTTTTTTTTATTTATTCTCGCCTTCCGCGTTATGGTAGCAGCGGAGTATATATTATTTATTCCCGTTTCGGTTTGATTAATCTGGCTGCTACATCACTCTCCCCCCAGCGAAAGCGTACCGGAGGCTTGACGACTCGCCCGTATTTCGTAGTCTTTAAAATAGGTTTCAACTGGGTTGATGTAGATGATGAAGTTTCAAGCTTCCTCGCTGGTGGTTTTGATGATGATGATGAATCCTCTGCAGTATCCTCGTTAATAATATAGGCAGGCTTTAGTCGGTCGATCGATATAATCGTAGATTTCCTTCCGGGTATTTGTAGTTTAAAAGTCTTGCTATTTCTCTCTAATACTTTATACGGTCCATCGTAGGTAGGTTGAAATTGTTTTTTCATTGCGTCGTTTCTTACAAAAACTTGTTTGCATGTTTTCAAATCTTGGTGAATGAATACTAATTTATTATTTCTGTGTGATTGCATTTCGGTGCATTTCAACGATAAGGCTTTGTTAATTGATTCTCGAAGTTTAGTTACGAAATCGTAATCCATTTCTTGTTTGTTTGACGCTGCTGAACTGAAGAAGTCACACGGCAGCCTTATGCTGCAGCCGTAGGTTAGCTGAGCGGCGCTAAGACTAGTGTCTGCACGCGGTGTTGCTCGTAGTCCGAGTAGCACTGTAGGTAGCTCATCAATCCACTTTGTATGTTGAGATAAACGAGTTTTGAGTGCAGTCTTTAATGTACGATGCCATCGTTCGATTATTCCGTTTGACTGAGGATGGTATGCTGTTGTACGCGTCTTCTGTATTCCCATAGTTTGAAGAAGTTTGAGGAATAGGTTGCTTTCGAAATTCCTTCCTTGATCCGTTGTGATGGTTTTAGGTGATCCGAAACGAGTAATCCAATTTTCATAAATTATCTTCGCGACGGATTCGGCTGAAGTATCATCGGTAGGTATTGCTTCTGGCCATCTTGTTGTTCTGTCGATCATTGTTACGAGATAACGATGTCCTTGCGGTGAAGTAGGTAATGGTCCAACGATGTCAACGTGCAAGTGTTCGAATCTCTCCGTGGGTGGAAATGTAGCTAGACTACTTGATGTATGCCTTTGAACTTTGCATTTTTGGCATTGAATGCATTGCTTCGCCCAGTTGCCAACATCCGCTTGCATTGCAGGCCAAAAGAATTTTTCAGTGATGAGTTTTCTTGTTGTTCTAACACCTGGATGACTAATGTTGTGCAGTGCATTGAAGACTTCGCGACGACATTCTTCTGGTATGTATGGTCGCATGGTTGTCGTTGAGGCTTCACAGTATATAGGTAGATGCGTCATTGGCATTGTAACTTGCTTGATGGACAAGTTACCTTGCTTCGATAGATGTTTTATGTTGTCACTATCTCTGTCTTGTGCTGCGGCGATCTTATGATAGTCGATTGATGTAGGGCACGTTACACTGTCGATTGGTACGCGACTGAGTGCGTCGGCAACTATGTTGTCCTTTCCACTGATGTGACGTATGTCGGTCGTGAATTCACTTATGAAAATAAGTTGTCTTGCTCTTCGTGGTGTTTCCGATAGTGATGGTTTCTTTGGAAGTACATATGTTAATGGCTTGTGGTCGGTAAAAACGATCAGGTTTCGACCCTCGAACGTTTTTCTGAAGTGCTTGATAGCCATGTAAATAGCGAGTAGCTCTCGGTCGAATGTACTGTAGTTACGTTGAGTATCGGAGAACTTCTTCGAAAAATATCCAAGTGGTTGCCATTTCCCATTGCTGTATTGTTGGAGAACTGCTCCTGCTGAGAGATCGGATGCGTCGCTGAAGATAGCAAGGGTTGCTTCGTGTGATGGGTGAGCGAGTAAAGCTGCATTTTGGATCGCAATTTTACAAGCTTCAAATGCCTTCGTGGCTTCATCGTTCCATTCGATTGACGTTTTATCTTTTTTCTTCGTGTTGTGAAGGTAGGCGTGAAGTGGTGCTTGGATTTCAGCGGCTTTAGGTATGTGTTCTCTGTAAAAATTTATCATCCCAAGAAAACGCCTTAGCTCTTCGATAGTTTTAGGTTTTGCATAATCGATGATTGCTCTGACTTTTTCGGCAGGCTGGTTTTATTCCTTCCTTGCTGACGGTGAAACCAAGAAATTGAACTTCTTGCTGTCCAAATATGCATTTCGAAGGGTTGATTGTGATTCCGTTGTCTTCTAATCGCTGTAGCACGGTGCGTAGATGGGTTTCGTGCGTTTCTTTATCAGGGCTTGCAACAAGGAGATCATCAATAAATGCGAAAACGAAATCCAGTCCATGAAGTACTTCGTGTATGAATCTTTGGAAAGTTTGACCTCCGTTCTTTAATCCTGGGATCATTCTTGGGAATTCGAATAATCCCATTGGGGTAATTATTGCTGTCTTCTCTATGTCTTCATCGCGGACTCTTATTTGTTGGTAAGCTCGGTTGAGATCGATGGTGGAGAATATAGTCTTGTCTGATAGTTGATGAGTGAAATCCCTGACTCGCGGTATTGGGTAGCGGTCAGGAGTGGTAATAGAATTCAGTCTTCTGTAATCTCCACAAACTCGTAATTCTCCGTTCTTCTTCGGTACAATGTGAAGTGGTGATGACCAAGGGCTTTTGCTTGGACGGCATATTCCTTGCTCAATCATGTTTTCGAATTCCTTTCGAACTTGCTCGTATAGGTGTGGTGCTATTGGACGTGCACGACAATGAAGTGGTGGTCCATTGGTGTCGATGAAATGCTCAACGTCGTTCTTCGGTGTTAATTTCATTGAAGTTATTCTTGTGATACCAGGGTATTCTTCGAGGATCTTGTGATACGGTTGTTGCACATCTATGCTTCTTATTGTGGGCAGATTGGTTGCTTGTACAAAAGACTGAGATGCAAGATTGGTTTTCCCGTCGATGATTCTTCTATTTTTGATGTCGACGACCAACTGGTGATGTTGAAGAAAATCAGCACCGATGATTGGTTTGCTGACTTTAGCGACGATAAATCTCCATTTGAATGGTCGGCGTAGATTAAAATCAAGTTCCATTGTTTTTTCTCCATATGTAGGAATAACCGTATTGTTTGCTGCATAGAGTTGAAAATCTAGTGGCTTCAACTTCTGTCCTTGCTTCGGCGGTAACACTGAGATATTTGCTCCGGTGTCGATAAGGAAAGTGAGCTTGCTTCTTTTATCGGTGACGAAAAGACGGTAGGACTTTGCTGTTACGCTGGATCCCGTCGCATCGAGCGTACTAGTTAGTTTTCCGTATTCGTATTTTCATTTTTGAATGTACACGGTGCTGTGCATTTTCTTGCCTCGACCCCGAAACGTCGATGATAGTAGCAGTAAGGGGATCTTGATGTTGAGCTTATTCGACTTCTACTTGCAGAGCGGTTGCGACGAAAAGGTGATCTTCGGTGTTGCTGATTGCGCTGGTTGTACTGTTGCTGGTAAAAGGTATGATGCTGGGAAGCTTTGAGCGCGGCGACTTCGAATGATAGCTTCCGAATTTCTTCGAGAAGAAACTGGGTATCATTGGCCTTTGTTGAAGTGCCTTCGATGATCGATATGTGTGAGCTACTGCTGTTTTCGATCATCTTGTCCGCCAGGAGTGCCAGTTCGTCGAGCTTCGTCTGCGTGCTGAATGTTTCGCTGACTGCTATTACCGATCGAATATGTGGTGGTAGGTGGTTTACCCACATTAGCCGTAGTGTTGAATCCGGAACTTTATCTCGCGCCAAAGTACGCATTTTGCGTAGGAGTTGTGTGGGTTTCTGGTCTCCAAGTTCTATTTCTGATAGAAGTTTTTGTAGCTGTCGACTGTCGGATTCTTCGTATGCGGAGATCAGACGATCCTTCAGTGAATTATACTGGTCGACTGCTGGTGGGTTGTACAACAGGTCCGCA